TCTTTCCATACGGGACTGTGCTCGACCCCATCTTCCCCTTTAAGCATCTGTCGCAGATCAGTGTTCTAATAGGTGGTAGAGGTCCCATCCCTGCTGCTACACCAAACGCGACTCAAGACCAGGTTGGGGTTTCTGGGGATACCAAGTAGAATTCCTCACTCTCATGGTGGCTGATGACTGGTACGGCTGGCTCGTGGGTGTTTCCTTGTGGCACAAAATTTGTTGTGATGGTTGGCGTAGGAGGTGCATCAAGAGGAGTGACGAGAATGTGGCTCAAAAGCAGGGAGGGGCAGGGTGGTACTTTGTTTCTGTGATCATTTGATGTCTGGCCAAGCCTTTGGTATTTGTCTTACACTTGCACGCATGAGCTGGCCTTTGGGCCAAGCTAAAGCCCAATTCCTTCTTATTATCCCAAATCACATGTATTCGGCCCAGCTTAATGGCTCTTTCTACCTAGTCGAAATTGTTGTGTTCTAAATATTAAAATTATAAATCGATTACATCTTTTTAAACTGTTCTGGCTAGGCTACAATGATTTGCGATGGCATACAACGTACTTCAGAGTCTATTGGCTTAAATTATAAACTTCCGTATATTCATAAAAATATTCATTAATTATATTCGTTTATGTTGCTCATTGCTCTTAATATTTTTGCGCGCCAGTTCATTTGGGTTCTCATTGATATGGCTGATTTACACAAGTTTATAAGACAGCAATTTTCGGATAATAACTGGTCTAAACAATGTGATCTCTCGAAAGTATCACTAGCGAAGTTAAAGGAGATAGCGGAAGCTTTCAATCAGTTGGATGTTAAGTCCAAGTTAACCCTTACATTCACTTACACCAATTCTGTTATCCCTTCAGACCCCGGGGTACGAGCTTAACGCTGTTTTGATCTAACGATATTGCACGTTCTAGACTTTATACTTTCTTGAGTGCCCAAGGGAGGTTTTGTGTAGGCTTATAACACAATGTTGTTCTGTGATCTAGAACTAGGCAAGATGGGTTCTTCCAATGGAGTTTATTTATGCAAACTGCGTTGCTCTGCAGGGTGGTTTTTTGCGTTTTTCAAAGACTCAGATTAGCGTTTGTGAACAATTTTTTTAGTTCTTTTTATTTTGCCATTTATCCTCCTAATTTTCGGCTTGCCAGATTGCTGAACTTATCGAAAGTGTAATCCTTCAAGCGTTGGATGAGGACAACAATTTTGTGCGTTGCGTCGCGACTGCACTTCATAGTCGTCATAACTTCGGCCATCTTATATTCGACCTTTCTGAAACAAGTGAATCGTTCGCTAAGACTCTTGGTAGTCTCAGAACCTGTTCAACGGATGGACATGTCTTTACAAGGATTCCTCCTCTCGCAGAATTGCTTGACTCACGCATCACAGACGGCGCACTGGATATTCCTTCTTCTCTGCCGTCTAAAGATCTCAGAAGCAACTGCCTAAACTCCTTTTGTGGCTTTACAGTTCGTGATAAGACACCAGCTCAAAGACTGAAGGAGTCTTACCTTGATCGGCTTCAGGAAGAGTGTGAACGTCGTCGTATTCATGTACCCATCCCTGGCCGCAGTTTTGGCAAACAGGATGGTGGGGAAGACGTTTCTCGTGATGGTGTCACTCAACAGGTTCATTCCCTTTATTCAGAGTCTCCTTCGGGAAGTCGTCGTGCTCCTAGTTTTCCTCGGCGTTCCTCCGTTCCTCGAAAAACAGACGTAAACGACACCCAAAGTTCAACTCCCACCAGTATTGCCAACACTGGATCTTCTCAAACATCCTCAAATTCTCACACTAGTGCTCGAGCTAAGTTGTTAGCAATGCACAATCTAAGTACAGCATCCGTGGGACGGAACGGCAGTAGTGGTTCCAACAGTGGGGCTACTGCGAATACTTCCCGACGAATGATGCTTCTCTCCTCTTCAACCACTTCCGAGCCTTGTGAACGAACTACTCTTCGAAATCTAACTACGACAGGCGCTTCAGTGGCTGGAATCAAGCGATCGAGTGGAATAAAGTTGCTAGACTTTCAGGACTTGCCCGCCATTGGGCTTCAGGCGAAAAAATTGCGGAAAGGTTTGTTTTATTTTACTAGTCAAATAAGTTTCGTAGATTTCAATGCAGGTTTTGAGCCACAGATACGTCGATTTGGCCTCTGTTGCGGCGATTCAGTAACAAGGACTCTTGGTCTACGAGATGTCTACTAAGATGTCTTGAGGGCCATCCATCAGACCAAATTGTTTTTTGCAGTCGTGTTTGACGCTAAGAGACAAGGTGTTGGAAAAGGGGTGGACAGCATATCTACATTCCATGAAAATCAGTGCTTAGTGAGATCACATGTTTTGGTTAACCTGTTTGATGAGAAACATGAAGATTGTATTTTACTGCAAAAGATGTCAGGATGGGTGGATCATTACCAGAGGAAGGCTTTACTTAGTGTTGATCTATAGTCTTACCATTTTAGTCGTCCATTTTTACCAGCAATTAAAGTGGGTTTACAAATGCTTAAATGAATTGGAGTCGATTTAGAGGTGCAAAAAAGGGTAATGATTAAGGTCCTTATCATAATGGGCTGATATTGAATTGATTGTACTCATATTTCTTGCATAGGTCCCATAAGTTACCACGAGTTTGGATCTCGTTCCTTTCATTCGCAGCTAATTTTACCTTTGCGTTCAAAGATGTGGTTACGTACGAGTCTCTCAAAAAGTTTGCGAGGATGTCGGGCAAACCACCATGGCGTCGTACCTTGTAGATTTTGGCTAAACATCCACCTCTGTCTCTTCTTAGTAGTGCCTGAGGAAGTTTAGTAATGCGAACCCCGTGAGGCCTAACTGGTCTGCTGTTTCCATACACGTCTTACTTTCTTATGGACAAATTCAGTAGGCACACACGATTTGCTTCATTCATTTGCTATCGTGCTACCGTGTAATCCTTATGCTTCGGTAAATTCACTAATTTGTATTTCCGTGGTTGGGTCGTCGGCATTTGTATTGACAGAGCTCTGGAAATTTTTAATCGAATAAATTCAAATCGATGAGGACATGGCTTTGTTTTGGGGTGAACTTCTGCCTTGGGGACCAGGTTTTTTTGCTGCTAAGCTCAGATTGGTGGCTATTTGATCCACTCAAGGTTTCATTGCATCATTGTGCGAGAAGCGCTTGCTACTAATGTCGTTAGTGTCATCCCATTCTTTGCTGACGGATTAATAAAGTCGAATGTATTTCTAGTCACTGCCATTTCCATGGTAAAAATAGTCGATTGGAAAAGGAAATTTTGGCATCTCAGTTCAAAATCGGAAACTAAACATAAACCATATGTAAAAAAATTGGGAAGATGGTGCATCAAAATGGATTTATGTTTGATGTATAATGCATTGCTGAATTCAACGCATTGAAAGTCAGAAAAACTGCGTGGGGAAACGTTAAAACAATTTTATTTACTGCAGAGAAACTTCGTATGCAACTGACGCCATCCAATCTCAGCGGTAATCAGACTCTGGCCTTAAATGTTTAAACGTATATCTTAACTGTCCTCAAGGAATTGAGGTTGGGGAAATAAGCGATACGATTGAGAACACTGATTTCTACTCCAGTACTATCCGCTTGGTTGGCTAAGTCACCATGTGTGCAGTAAATATAATCTTTCAGAACAACAAGAAAAGGAGCGAGAAGAGAAGCGGAAGGAGCGAGAGCAGAAAGCACAGGAGCGTCGCGAAGCACGCGACACCGCCCGTCGCGCAAGAATGCTTGCACATGCAGCTGCGGCTTCTGGAGGCAAAAAGACCGGTGCGACCTTGCTCTCTCCGCTCTCTCATCCCACCCAACCTGTCGTCACACAGGCGCTTCCTCTGTTGCATCCCATACCGCAACAACCACCTCGCATTCAATCAGGTCTAGAGACTGTTGTGGCTACCACGAAACCTATTGGATGGAATTCGCAACAGCCCTGGACTCCATATGGTATTGGACCGACGCGCAATCATCGTGTCCGACAGCCCAATCGACAAGGGGGATCTGATCAGAACGGTGAAGACGAGGTAATGGATGATGATGATGAAGATTATGAGGATGACGATGATGACGAGGAGGAATGTGAAGCTGTTGTTGGGGCTGATGGCGCGTTCCACTTGACTGCTCCACGGGGCTTCCGGTGAGCTGTTGTCATATTTGTATCGTCTGAGCTATTTCTGGCATCGTCATATGGTGTTTGGGTTCAAAAGTAGCTTTGGGATGATCATCTATCTATTAGCTGAATCTCATGGAACTCAGGTGCCCAACTATAAGATCTAAATATACAATTCTACGCTTTTTTGGTTTTGTTGTATTATTAAATGTAATTTCTGCTGCAGATTCTTGTTTCCAATGTCTTTTTGAAGCATGTGATTTTATCTGCAATCAATCCCACTTGTACGTGTTCCAGTTAATTCTGTTTGGCTCCAGACTATTTTTTGATATCATAATCAAAAAGATACTCTCGTACACAGTACCACTTGTGGAATTCAATTTGCAATATTTCTTACCAACTGAATGCTTTCAGTTTAGGTGCTATGGTCTGGAATGCTGCGTCGATGTCCTTCAATAATGCCCTTTGAGCCGACTGACAAAGACTAGTTTATTGCCCCTATTGAGACACTGAGCCAGGCAGTTTTCGGTTCTACTGTTATTGATTCCAGCTCGTTAATCCGCTATTTACAAGCTCCTAATTTCATCGCTATGTTTGGAGGGCGATTACAGTCCCTCCTCGTTAATGCGATTCTTTTTCACGGCCTTATGTCAAATAGATAAAGTTGTTTCATGAATGGCAAAAGTGTTGACGATTTAGGAGACCTTTACGAAAGCTTACAAAGCCTATCTTGCGTCTATTAACAAGCTTCTCTTAAAGGCTGGTTTTGAGCTCACCTTTGAAGCATATTATCTGTTTATTAAAACAATTCTATTTCCCCCTGCAGAGGTTTCACTGAGACAACTCCACAGACTTCCGTATCTCTGCAGCCCCAAGAGAGCACGACACCCACTGCCACCATTCTGTTTCAACGCTCCACTCAGGGCGGCCATGTCGTGTCTCAACTCATAACTACGGGTCACCAGGCAGCGGCGGCCCAAGGGGATGTGTTACAGTCTGCGACTGGAGGCCCAAGGTTTCGCTTTGTGAGACCGTGGGTACCGCCGCCACAGAGTCAAGCCTCACAGGAGGACGCTGTCACTGGAGAAGGGGTCACCGCTACGGCCTCCACGCGTCTCATTCAATTGCCGGATGGTCGAATCGCTCTGGCCACCTCCGCACCGCATCAATTTTCCCAACAGCCGCAACAGCATCCACAAACTGTAATAATTACAAATCCTGGCACTGTGAGTGTAATTATGCGTTTCTTAACTCAATCCCTTTTCTTGAAACTTGATCTTTTCTGAAGTCAGACTTCATAGAAATCAAGCATAATTTGCTTGCTTAAATGGCAAGGTTGTATACTCCAGAGGTGCCCTAAATTTGACTTTGAACTGTGTCGATATCTGTGGGTAGATAAATGGATAGGTAGGTATTTTTATTTCTTTCCTTAACCGATGAACTGCTCATAAATTCAACTTCATTCGGGGTTTGAAATTCCACCGAAATTTACTCGTTTTTGACATCGTCTTAGTTTCTTGCGATTTTGCTTTATGTTAAACCAAAGTCTATTTTTTAATTTGAGGTTTTTTTACTCGGAAAGGGGCTGACTAAGGAAGCCAGCTCTTCAGTGAACTTTTCAATTCATTTGGTCTCTCAGCTGCTTTAGCAAGTCATGGTCTCAGTGTCGATCGTTCCGAATCTATGCCAAATTTCTTGCTTCCTTAGAAAGTGGTGGGAGCAAATACGGATACACCTGCACCTTATAGTATAGAATAAAATTTACGACTCGATTTTGCAAACAGATATGTTTAGCTTAAACTTTTTTTCAGGAATTTGCATCAGCTTCAAAATGTGGAGAAATTGAAGAATAAGCAATGAGTTGGTTTGAGCGATAATGTAATGTAACCGTTGATAGCTTGGGGCGTTGTGTTTCATCCTACGTCTCCCTTATGGTGTAATATTTAAGTCTGAGTTGAACCTTAGTTTGTTACTTGGTAGTGGAAGTGACGCGGACAGAGCATCGTTGCTCTAAAGCGGTACCTAAAAGCGGCATCGAATGAAAACTTTGTGTCTCTGTCGTTACTTTTCCACTCCGGCTGTCACAAAGTAGTTTGTATCTCACAAACATCAGTGAGTTGGGCGGGGAGCAACATAAGCTCTTCTTGGAATTCTGTTTCAAGAACTGCATCTCCCGATGTGGGTCGTCTGTCATCAACGTTGGGAAGTTTATGTAAGGAAAGTGTCATTGTCTCACCATTGAGGCATCTTTTTGCGGATGATGTAGCCAGCGCCTTGATGAACGTTTTAAATTTACGCAAGGTAAATATTGCTTTTTTGTGCTGTCTCCATAGAGGTTCCTTAAAACGCTTAGGCGTTCACTCCATAAAATTAAAGAGTACATACGCTTGAATTGAATTTGACTGGCTTTCTTTGTATGCCAGAAATGACGAAGTCATGATTTCAGACCATTTTACGGTGATGTTGGCAATATTTGGTGGTGTAGAGCCTCACTATCTTTCTGTATCCTCTTTCAGCGCCTCCAAATGGCAGCAACTCCCACTGCCCAGATCTCCACCTCGTTACCGACTTCCACCCTCCAAGCAGCAAATGCCTCTCCCCAGCAGGTTCTTGTTCACAGCCCTGCTCTGGTCTCCACAAATTCACCACATCAACAGCGGCAACAAACGGCTGTTATGGTCGGTTCCTCCCTTCCACAGGCCACTCTTCAAGTTCCTGTGGGACAGGCTGTTCCTCTCGTTGCTTCCCCTCGTCTTCAGCCTAGGGTTTGTCCTTATTTTTGGCAATGAATTGTTGGAGTTGTTGCATGTGTAAAAGATTTTCTATTGGTCGGTGGAATTTACTCTAGGTTTCTGTAGTTGTGTGTTGATTTGCAGTCGAACTTTGTTGAGGTGGTTTGAGTAAAGTTATTTTTGAAAGTGGTTTACTGAGGTACAATTGAACCCTGAACCGAATGCTGCCGATACGCATGTGAGCCGGATTCGAACCCTCGCCAATAATTGAAGTCTGCAAGCCTCCTCTCCTCTTATGGGACTTATGAATGGTAGATAAATTGGCGTATTTGCGTCATTACGTCTTGCAGCCATTCCATGTATGCATACCTTGGGTCAGGAACGCTTTGTTTCTCCCTTTTAACAGTATCGATTCTCGCTTCCCTAAGCACCGGCACCAAAGCGATTGGTTATTTTTTAGACTAAAACCACTGCCTTCGGTGCTGGCACTACTGTTTATGCAATTGAATAGCTCCATAATAATTTCTCAATTATTTATCTGAAATTGTTAAAGGGAACTATCTGTGTTCTTAGAAGAAGAAGCAACTTTAAATTACAGTTGCATGTCCCATCGATGAGAACTCCTTATTCAAAGAAATCGAATGTAAAATTATTCCTCTATCACCTCCACTGCCGTCGTCTTAAAGTATTTGTGATAGCTAGTACCCTGAATCCTTTTTGGCCGATAACATCATGCTGATGCTTTGAACATTTTTCTTTTCCTCTAGCACTTTACAACTATGAACAAATAATTGTTAGTCGTAGGAAGCATCCGAATTGTCCACTATTGCGCCCAAAACCTAAAGCGTCCCACTAGCTTACTAAATAAACTTCCTTTTCAGCTGATACAGATCCGTCCTCGAACACCAATTGTAGCTACAGCTGCACCTACGGCCAGTGTGGCGGCTCCTTCTACGGTTGCTGCATCGGGCACAATTCCGGTTATTTTGCCCTCTTTGAGCAATATCACAACCAACATCACCTCCTCTGGCAGTACTGGCTTTCAGCAGCGTTCGCGTTTCGTAGTCGCCAATTCTTTCCATCAAGTAGTCCCTACTCCGGGTGTTCACCATTCACCTCAGCAGCAAACAGTGAGTGAACCGTCTTCTTTCTGGCTACACATTTGATACCATTGTCCCTAGGCTTAATGTGAATTGTTATTTTCGAATGTAAACTAGTTGATATGACCAGGTACCTGTTAGTGTGCCGCGTGTGTTTGATTTCTCACCCACACTTGTCGGCCTTCAAAACTATCGTTCATATTTCATGTGTGAGCATATCTGACCTCTAGTCAAAAGCTTTGTGGCCTGGTTTTGACGGCCTTAGTTGTATCTCTGTCATAAACTATGATGGTTACATTCGTTCGTACTTTGAGTTGAGCATGAACAATGTAAACCCTGGTTTCTTATTTTCTCTCCATTTTGGCAGGCGATGATTTCAAAACTTCTTTCATGCCTGTTTTCATCCGTTTCATTGTATTTACTCCTGAACTTGCTGAAAACTAAATCAGTATCACGTCGTCGTCTTTTTTTTCAGTAGTGCTAGGCATATCAGAGCCTTTGTTGTCTTTGAAAGTTTTGTCTATGCGGCTTTGATATCCCTTTTTTCATCTGATAAGGGATTGGCCATTACCTTCCGCAATAACCAGCCTTTCATTGCGACTATTAAGCAAAAGTTTTGACCTTGGTGGAGCTTTTCAAGTGTCTACCAACCGTTAATAAGTGGCGGCAAAGTAATATTGGGATACTTAAGCAAAGCATAGTTTACTTCTGGTCCTTTTTTAAAGTTTTGGTTAATTTTGAAATAGATCGTCGCTGCTCATTAGAGTTACATGCCGATTTTGAAACCGCCGTTGCTTAGAGGATGATAAGACTCACGTATTTAAAGCTTCCATAACATAAATGCGGTACAGAAGATGTTTTCATGTTTATTCAATTTTATTTTTCATATAGCTGATGAGGATAGTCCCACGGCCCACTCAGCCGCCGATAGCTCCTGCTACCAAAGTCGGAGCTAAGCCGCTGTTGCCACAGCCACCTCAAGCACAACCTCCGCCACCACTGATGCAGCCAAAGGAGAAGATTCATTTGACCTCAACTCAGTTGACCTCCATCCAGACCCTCTTTCAGGGCGCCAATCGTCTCACTCGTCCTGATAAGGCCATTATTCTCTCCTTCTTTAGTGGCAAGCGCGGTGAGTTTAGTCCATCGAGTGATCTGCTTGCATTAGAATACTCCATCCTTCATCTCGGTTTGATCTTACAGACAAGAGCTTGGTATGCACCGTGCACGGACTAAGACGTCCGTTCGATTTGATAATAATGGCGATATAGGACCAGCACGATTGGGGCATTAAATTGATGCCACGTACTGACTAAAATCGGACATTCGACGTCTGATAACTTTCCTTCATTGTCTCCAGTGAATCCACAACCGGAGGGTGGATCTGCATTGCGTATTCGCTTGTCGGAATACCGAGAGCGAGTGATCGATGCGGCTTCGGGAAAAGTGATGGACGTGGCTGCGGAAACCTTTATCCACCTGGATTACGCCACGGGCAAGTTCGATCGCGTCAAATCTTATCGCACTCTCCCTCCAGAGCAGCTAATGGCTCTGCCTGTACAGCCAAAAACTGGTACCACTACAGCCACCACGACTAACAGCGCTTCTTAGCCCCTCCCTTGCCTCAACTCCTTCTCCATGTACATACGCCGTTGACAGCGTTGACACTTCCTTTCCTCCCCATATGTTTATCCTCTTTTCATATTTTAAGAATATCGTACTTTTGACGTTACTTCCAACTCTTCTTTTTTGATTGTCCATTGCTTGCGCTTTGCTGCTCGCGTGCTATATTACATCACTTCTCTGTGGTTCATCATCTATAGAACCGCGTTTCCGGTAGTGACTTAGATTTGGGCTTCTACACTTGATTTTGGAGACGATCGAGAAAGAAGCATTGCAGTCCTTTTTGGTATTTAGGATGCAGAATTTGGTAGCAGCAACGCAGACTTTTATCGCAAAATGACAAGCTCAGGTATGGACGATTGGTGTGTTAAATCTTACTGTAGTGGAAATGGGGTCTAGTTATCCATATCCACCAATTAGTTAATATGTCCTGATGAAGTTGTGACCATGTCCTGGCACTTTATTCTTCGAGTTAGAGGCGTTACCGTGATGCTTAGTATTTGTAATTTAGCATCATTTAATAATGCTCATCTCGCTGTCTGACACTCCTTACGGTAGTTCTTCGCGAGAATACCTTGAATACTCTCGCAACCTTAAGGCTTGTGAGGAAGAATCTAGTTGTAGAAGTTTTATCCGATCGTCTGTGGGTGAATAGCTTGGACCCTATGTTCTTTCCAGCTCACCATGTCTTCACGACCGGGTGTTGGTGGTGCTGGTAGTAGCAATGAACGAGCCAGCAATGCGGCGGGTCCGATGACCCGCAGCGACTACGAAGAGGCCTACCGACGTCGAGACAAACGCACACTGCAGCAGTTGCTAGCCGAGGAAGAGGCTCTTATTGACAACGAGGCAGCGGACTTTGAGACTGCCGAAAAGGAGGCTATTGCCGCTGCCTTCTCAGCTTGGGTGCCTATCACTCCTCAGTACATAGATGCCCATTTTCAGCTCTGGTCCCTCTCCCGACGTCCTGGCGACATATATGAAGGCGTCGAACTGCCTGGTGACGCACCTTGGCGTCTTCATTCTGCCAAAGGAATCCTAACTCGTGACTTTAATCCAGACAACTATGAAGAGGATTTGTTTGAGATGAAACATCGAGCTAATGCAGAATTGAAGGAGGGTATTGGAGAACTTTCACCCGTACAGTATGCGATTCATGTTCAGGTGAGAGATGGAAACCTAGTGCGATTGTTGCCTTACCATCACAGCAATTAGCCATTTCCGTTTAAGTTTACATCATCTGCCCATGACGTCATTTTTCTTTCTTATCACTGAAACAGACTTAGGGTTTGCTTAAAAATAATCTTTACAAACAACAATTTGGTCCGCACCATTGAAAAATACATGCTTGACGCCTCACCCGTGATGGGCAAAGGTATTTGTATAGTAGCGGTCATTGAGTGATTGAATATACTTTTTGTCTTCTGTTGACCTAATAACTGCCTCCTAAGAAATGATGTGCCTGCTTTTCAAGCGACTACTTCAATTACTCAGTGTTGCTTCCAACGCCTTTAGGCAAGAGCGCAAGTGCAAAACCACTTCTACGTCTTGACAGTGTCATATTGTGAGGTGATTGTGTACATGAAATACTTCTCCTCTTTCATCATTTCCATAAAAATTGTGCTTATCAGTCCCAATATGATTGTATTCCAGTCCACTCCAACGTACCAAGAAAACATGGTAATGTCGTCAATAGCGGAAGAGTACTACTACCTCGCAGGTCACATCGGTTGGGTGGATCTGCACGATAGTGGACTAGCCTCCCGTTTACGCACCCTTATGCTGGATCCTTTTCTGGTGGGACTGCGCCACGATCTCACCAACACTGACGCCAGCCTTCTTCTCGATCCCTACGTTGACTGTGCATTCGCAGCCATAGAACAAAACAATATGCCCTTTGATCTAATGATCGGGCCACACCAACTCAAACACGCCTGCCATCTGGCCTACAAACACCCGCGTTTAAAACTCGTTCTTAACCATTGCGGTCTTCCCTTGGAATACACTTCAACACGTCCAGACGAAGAAATTGTTCTGTCGACGTGGAAAAGTGATCTGGAATATCTCAGTCGTTACCCAAACGTCTACTGCAAGTTGACAGCGACTTCAGGGAAGATTGTGTGGCAGGCAGATGCTAAGGTGGAGACGGAGGAATGGAGTCCAATGAAGGTGCTCACCCAGGCCATCGGGTTTTTCGGACCAGAGCGTTGCCTTTTTGGATCTGGGTGGCCAATTTGTAGAGTTTTGGCTCCAGTGCAGACCGGTTGGGATGAGAGTGGCACCGGCGGTGCGTTGGCGGTAAAGGGCGGTATGGGTGGACCGGTGCCCGGGTACCGTGGATCAAAGGTGGCGAGACGACAGCTTTCGGTCTGGGAGGCGGCGCGTTTAGTAGAGCATTGCATGGAAGAGGCAGGATTTGGTGCTATCGAGGACAAACGAAAGGTGTTCGGTAGCAATGCGCAGGCTGTTTATACCCTTAACATTCGGCCCTATGGGTCAAGTCGGGTGCTATGACTTGAGTTCATGACCTGTTTTTTGTATCAGTCTCTTCAGGATGTACTTCATAGCATGCAGTTTTAACGTGTTTTCGGAATTTTGGAGTGTGAATGGAGACCTAAAAGCTGGTTTAGATTCAGCAGGGTTTTGACGTCGTAAGGCCAGCCCCGACGATTAGAGGTTTACTACAACATAATGGACTTTCTCTCTCCGTGACGCGCACGTCATATGTAGATCCCCCAGGGTAGGTTGTCATGAGCACTAAAATTTACGGGATTCGACAGTGGAGGGCTCCTGAGACCAAATTCAGTTTTGGGAGTTTTAGCGACCTTATGAATTCTTAAAGTAAAAACTGTTGTAGAGTATGGAACTGGCGAGACAAGTTGCAGAAAACCTATTAAGACAAGTGGCTAGTGTAGTTCACATTATGTACCTAAATGACTCTCATAGATGGAAGACGGTAATTCAGCTCGAACGCCGTGCTCGAAATACTCACCAAAATATTTTCCCCTAAAAGTGAGTCTCGCCTCTTACAAACCACTTACTCAATATAAACTTTAGCAATACCAAACAAACCGCTGAAGCTGACGTGCATGGAATCGTGAAGGCGGCGAAACGCGCTAATTCCAGGAAGTCAGGTACGCGAACTGCATCGTTCGTTTATCGTGACTCTTAGCACCCATTTTGAGCTTTATATTAGCCCAGGTTCAACATCATCTCACGTTGAGGGAACAATATAGAACCTGTTAGTTACCAAATTAGTCAAACTGTGAAAACTAACATCAAGTAGTGATGATACAGTGGCGTTCATATTGCTTTTGCCGGGAGAGCTGGCCATTAAGCCAAGTGGAAAGTCTAGGGACACCAAATAACTGTTACTAAGTAAATTAAACGTCTACTTTTGTGGACCGCGCACCTATCGTAGTTTGAACCGCACCGTGCCCGTGCATGTAATATACCGAATATTATCATTACAAAGAATGGTATTGTCGAACCCAAATGGAATTCCACACAGAGTAATGAGAACATTGGAAGTGAATAATTCAACCTACCAATAAGCAGAATCGTTGCCTACAGCACATTTGTAGCGACCCGAGGTTCTCCAATAGAGGGGAAAAGGAATTGATTTGGGCTGAATATATACATTTTGGGCAGGCAAGAAGGAGTTGGACATTGGCCAGGTCGTTCACGTGTACAAGTGCGATACTAATCCCTAGTGGATGCTCTCCTTTCCGCAAGAATCATTTATTCATACAAAGGCTTAAAAACACAAAGATTTTTACCACAAATAACAAGGCTAGCTAGGCATTATTAAGGCTGTAAAACAGTTAAGTACATTGCGTAAAGTTAGGAGCGACAAGGAGTGGACTCTGAACCATTAGTTGCAAAGAAATTAGCCAATTAATCCCGTTTTTGGCGATCATTTCAGTTGTTTATCATCATCACTGCCCTTGGATAGTATTCACATTGAGGATCTGCAGGTGTTCTTGGTAGGTGCTTGTGAACCTATGGAGTTTGATACGAAGGAAAACCTGAGTTTCTTGAGTAGCTAATTTAGGCAAACATCGAACTTTGTCGGATGCTCACTCTTATTTGATACCAGCAAAGAAAGTAACTACATAACATTATTTGGTGGCCCCACTGTAACTCACTCACCGTAATATCTATTCATGCCTGAGACAGTTTGTGCACACAAATAAAACACTAAGTTACGTATTCTCGCTGAAATGCTTTCTGTCTACTGCAGCTGTAGCGTCTTGGGACCATCCACAGGGTAGAAGAAGGCAGTAAGTGGAGATGAATGCATATATTCCTAGGTGAACAAAGACAGCGACCCGGACCCGACCCAGAGACCGACCACGAGTACAAGCGCCGGACAAATCTCAACCAACCGCCAGACGTCAGGCGTTATATGAACAAAGGATTACAGCAAAAAATTGAGAAGCCTTACCTTGACCACTCCTTATTTAATGAGTCACTGGCGGTACACGGTTATCAAGTACTCTTTTTCGATTCCGTATATCTTTAAATGCTATGTTCTTTATCAGAGTGCTTATTGGCATATTCGTGTTTCGGACACTAGATGTTCGTTAAGCTTCAGAGTCCCTGTTTGTAAAAAAATGATCCCTACAAGTACTTCACAGAACTTCAAGCCCTTAGCACTCTATGGATAGTGGCCATCACAATGGTGCCCTAAGTGTTTTCTCTCTAATTCGTGAGCCATTTAACTACTTCTAAATTTGATACCTCCTTTTGTGCTTATTTTTAGTTAATAGTCTGTTTGTTAATATTTGTATATGGTCTGTTTCCAGTTTGATGTCACATTATATTTATGCGATACCCTTAATCTTCCGGGTAAACCGAGTGATTGGCTTTTTTCGTTTAGGTTTTTATCCGTTGAAGTGGGACAAGCCTTTGCATAGATTTGAAGGGCTGTTCATGTGTGTTTTAACCACTTCGGTATGGATGCTACTCAAATGGAATCAAGCTGAGTTAGGCGTTCCAAAGGTTACTTTTTCATCAATCGACTTTGGAGTTATCGCATGCTCGCAGAATGTCACCCATTGAATTGCTGCTTCATGCATCGGAAGTGGATCCTCAACTTGTCTGTACAGAATGTGAAATAATTATTGTTGATTTTAGTTTAGACCTGAGCCGTATTAGGAGTTTTTTTGGTAATTGAATTTGCAGAGGCTGGGTTCTTGTTTCGTTATCGTGTAAGCGTAACGAAGCTGGAGAGTCGAGGCCTGCTTTGGGTTTAGGTGCGGCTCGCTCCAGTCTAAATCTACAAAAATGTTCTCATTCACTTCAATTTCTTGATGAGAACTGATGATCACTTATTACATTGAGGAGAATCTCGAACTAATTCTCCACAAACGCAACCTTAACTTGTTCATAAGAATGGACAGGTAGTTCAGTGTAAGGTTACGAGGTTTTCAACTAATATTTGCCTCCTTTGCATCATATGAATATTACCTTATTAAATCTTTGTCAACGCCTCTGAATGTAAAAGCGGATCGTGTTGTCTGCATTTCACATTTCATATTACATGCGATAGTTCTTCAGTTCTGCGCTGCTTACATTCTTTTATCAGTGTCAGGAAGTATGGAGGAAATCGGTCATCACTGTCCATTTTACCTTTCTATTTGGGGACCAAGTTAGGCTTGTAAGGCCTTTGTGCAGCTTGTTCAACAAGGACAACAGAAACTTTAAATACATTTTCATGTTTGCATTTCCAGCAACGAAATCGCAAATCGGTGAATGCCCTTTTTTTCGTTTGATAAGTGTTCGGCATGTCTTCGCATTCTTGATGTTTGATTTTTGATTTCTTTGTGGTGTTATCTCCATGCACATTGTGAAGGTTGTGTCAAGTAAACTACTCTATGACATCGTTGCTTCTTGAGCCAATGTTAAAGTTCATAAAACATCCCTTTTGAACATAGGCTGTACGGAGAACGCGCTATGGCAACCGTGATCGTGATCAGATTGATAGTAATAATAGGTTTTTTAGTTGATACATCGCCTCACTTTTGGAACAGTTAACACTTCCTGCCTATTGCAATTCAACTTATTGGTGTTGTTGCTGTTTTGCACTTCCACAAATGTCAAGCAGTGACGAACATTTGGCGGTGTAGGGTATGTGCTCTTTTGCCCTGCCTTAAAGTTGGTTACTGAGGCAAAGATCAAGAAAGTACCTGGCTGTTACAAGCGTGACGGATCTGGAGGCGTTTACTTGGCGGAGCTGAACCTTGAATATCACGCGTTGGTACGTTAATGCCAGCCCTTGCCAGGCCTCAACCGTTGCACGTCGTCGCGCAACTTTGTAGACAGGATCGTTTACTCAAATTCCCGTGAAATCTACTTCAATTTGGGTAGTATTGTCTAATTTTTAGTACTTTCTGGACGTTAGAGGCTGTGCTTAACTGGACGACGGTATTGATTAATTCCTTGCTCTTGGACTATCTTCTTTGTCAAACTTGACGTCAGGAATTAACTACACTAAAGTTTAGCTAAGGAGATTGCTGATATTTCAACCCCTTGTTTTAAAAGATTTTTTATGCAGAAGTGGATAGTTTGGATAAATACAATCGGAAGGCCTTCCTTTCCTTCCATCCAACCGTCGTATTCGATATGGCGCATATCGATCGAACTTCTTGTCGTCCCACTTTCCTCTTTGATTGTAAACTACGGAAAATTTGGTGTGCGCTTTGTCTAAAGTCTCAGTCTAGGTATCGCAATCCAGGTTTTCGCCATTCATGAGTCATGGCACTGGTACTTCATTTGCGTTAGGCAAATTGCACGACGGGAATAAATGTATTCCCGGAATCTTTTCCGTAAACAAGTGTTACGGCAAACATTTGCTTTGAAATGACGTTTTCTTGTGAGTATCCGAAGCTGCTGTTCGATGCTACTCATTGGATTTTAGTGATAAATTGTAAATATTTATGGGTAGAAGTTGTTGATATTATCCATATAGTTCCCGTGCCAAAAAGTGGAATGTGAGTTGCTTAAAGTCGCTTTTAGATATGCCGTACTTCTGAATGGGTGAGTAAGAGCAGTCAATGCACGGGACGGTGAGGGGGGTGAGGGGCGGATCGCGGTATGTAGACAAGGGAAACCTCGGGAAATACTTGACCTAATGTTTGCAATCACTGGTTAGTGTACAGATGGTGGGTAGAGCAGCTCGGCTGAACTGGTGTCTGCTCTGGGGTTTTTCATCCTGTGTGCAATTAAGTCACACGGGATTTTTATTTCATTGGGAGCCGGCGCCGTTGTAGGGTCCCAAGGCTTCTCACTAAGTAAATTAAGGGATCAAGCTGCGCCGAATATAGGTAGCTCAGATGAATAAGAAGAAATCGTGCCTTGATTTGGTCCAGAGCCCGGTTTATGTGTATAAGGGCGGGATAAAGTATCGAAGTCATCGCCAGGCATCAGGTGATCACATGAGCAAAAGACTACACGGCCAACTTGAGGCTCTGTTCGATTGTGTGGATTGCACGTGAGGGGAGAAGATCATCTTCTTTGACATGTATCATTTTTGACCCTAGTGGCGACTTTTAGGTTGATTTCACAGAGAGAGCATCTAGTAGACTAGACGCTTATGTTGTGCTTTCTCTTGTTACATAAGTCGGTAACACGTGGCGAAGACTGAAATGCGGAAAAACGACCTGCTTCTAGCATTAAAATGGACCCATAATGGAACTACGCATCCCTATGTAATGATGTAGTATAGAATTTGGTGTTTTATTTATGAACACCTAATTTAATAACGATAACTTGACCTTGTTGTCCAGTTAGGATTACTATTGGCCATGATGTTTGCATCCCACTTAGGCTCGTGGGTATCGTGTGCTGGCCGCAATATGAACTGTAAATTCTAGTTTAGTTCCTTATTATTGATTTCATCCGTAGAAACAGGTGTTCTTGACATAAATTCATAAGAAGAATCTTATCATTCCTCCTAGCGTCTGCTCCAAGTCCTTTTGGATAATTGTTTTATTTGCACGTGTTATTCGAGAACACCTATGTTTACTAGGAGTCCTTGGACAATTATTTGTTTATTATTGTCATATGTTAATGCGTTGGCCCATCCATGTTTGGTTGTTGCAGGGATCGTAATGTACCTCCTAACAGCACTGAAGTCATATCGCAGACCAGGTTGCTGTCCCTTTCTTCTGGGAGTGTTCATGGGCATGATTGCCTTTCGGCTTCTTGATTTTTGGGACCATCCAGCGGTTGCGCAGTTCGAGGAAATAGAGCACATCTATTACCATTCCTATAATGACAGTGACTACCAGGGAGGTAATCTCTTACCACATTACTTTTCAGTTTCACATCTTTGCTGCTTTACCTGTTTTCTTGTACGTTATACACGCTTAGCTTTTCTGTTTTGTTGCACCTAGACGTAACTTATGGTATTTTAGATACTTTATTTGCGTTACTATTCGCAAAGAAGCGTTTGACATGGTTGATTACTCTGCCTTTTCGCAGATGACCACATGCTAGCTGATGAGATGGCAAAGAGAGTCCGGGTTTTCGCTGTCATTCTTACGATGCCCAAATCCAAAGAGGTCAAGGCTGTTCACGTAAAGGCCACATGGGCACGGCGTTTCAATGGCTACGTATTTGTTAGTTCTGAGGAGGACAAAAATTTGCCATCGATCCGTGAGACATGGCCCTTTTTCTAAATATAGTCTTTGATTTCGTTCAAGCATTTACTACTAGGTGTTTGAAATTTCGCTGTTAGATCTCTGTAATCATAGACGGCTGCTCTTTTAAAATATGGATAAGATGATAAGGTTGGGAAAATTAAGAAATTTGCTAAATATTTGTCGGAACCGCAGCTCAACTAATGCCGAACTTTCTGCTTGGTCAACATTATCAGCAGACATCTAGTGATTTATAATTTGGAATGGCAATATTCTTGTGAATATCTCTAGGTGCTGCTAAAGCTTTAGGGCTCACGCTCCTTGTTCATTGTTTTTTCACTTTTCAATTTTGTTAAATCTTGTATACTGACGTTATATATGGGCAAAGGTGATTTTTTTTTTAAACAACTTCAGAGTCATGATCCTTGTGTCGAAAACTTAGTAATGAGAGCTAAAGAATCATACGATTTTCAAATTATGTGTTTACTGTGCAAATTTGGATGAGTTGAATCATTCACTGGGCTGTGTGTGTATGTTGAGCCTTACTATGGTGAATATGGCTAAAGGCCTTTCTCTTGCGAGTTACAGATGCTTGACCAATATTTGCCTTTTTAATTGTGCATCGTAGTTCAATGTTTACTACACCACTGCAGGGGCGGTGTCCAGCGAGAGTCGAAATGTACTGTGGGAGAAGACACGTCAGGGTCTACTCTACGCCTACGAAAATCATTTTAACGACTATGATTTCTTTATGAAGGCTGACGATGATACCTATGTGATCGTGGAAAATTTGCGCTTCATCCTCCTTAAATGGGATCCAAATGAGCCCATTCTAATGGGTAGGCGGTTCAAAGTAGGTTTGCTTGATTCCTCCCTTTTGCCTCCTATTATCTTTATTTCAAATATTGCCGTTCAGCGATTTTTTGAGACATTTAATCAGCGAAACATGGCAGTTTCCTCCTTATCATTGTATTATTACAAATGTAGATCCTGCATTTAATTCGACATATTTATTTTGGGAAATAATATGTGCAGTTAGAGTTTACTTCTCTGTAGAAATTCGTAAAGCAGGGCTACACATCCGGAGGTGCGGGCTATGTCCTTTCTCGTGGAGCTCTGAAACTCATCGCCAAGGGTATGAATGGTGACATTAGAGGCTGCCGCAAGGGCCGAGGAGCGGAAGATGTTAATCTTGGCAAGTCTTTTTTAGTCTACATTTTAAACTCTTCTTTTTTATGAAACAAAATTTTGATTCTTGACTCACATTGTAAGTTATTTAAGGGTTGTGGCGTACCCAATTATTTTCTTTGCTCAAGGATATTTGCTGCTCGCCTCCTAGGGTGAATTCGTTTGTTTCTTGGTCGACGACTACTTGTGCATGCCTTTTGGTTGCCTATTTTTTTATCATTTAACCTTTTCGAGTGGGTTGATTGGCAAATTTTTGACAGCTTTATTCACGCCTGTGTGGTTGAGTGTGCTTGATGTAATTTTGCCATGATTGTATATCAGCAATCACCGAGTCACTGGAAAATATTCGAATAATACCGGAATTGAAGTGAAAGACTGCTTTCTCCTTGGTTCTCTTTAAGACGAACACGAACAGTTACTTCTTTACTCTTCCAATGAGTCTCGGAATTTAAGGACGAAATATCATTTAAGTTTCGACATGTATGCCACTTTGTTATCATGAGTGCTGTAAGTACGTAAAAATCAGGTAACGTTAACTTGTTCATCAATCGCTGGTTGCGTCATTTTTTACGTGAAGCCTTGCACTGGCACGTCAGTTGCATTTCCCCGTCCAATGGTCTATTTGTTGATTCATGTGGTCAAGTGCTCCATGGTATGAACATATCTAATTTGAAAGATGGTTTTTTTTAGAAAGGTAGTACACATTACTTGGAGGCTAGGTATAATCAAATTGTTCAAGAGTGGACAATAGTTACCAATATCGAACTAAGGTCGGTTATCTATTCCCATATCATTGAAAATCGAAATTCCATTTTCCGCTGAGCGCTTACATCATTTTGCTGTTTTTTATTAATCTCACTTCTTTTGTCGCAGTTTTGATAACATTGCTGGACATTGCTTTGTCCTTTTGCGATTACAGGAACTTGCGCTGAAGCCGTGAATGTGACTCTAGTGGATAGTCTGGATGAACACGAACAGGAAATTTTTCATCCCTTTCCCCCTGCTTATATGATTGACAAAAAGACCATGGAGGCAACCTCTTGGGTGCACTCCTATAATTACTTCCCTATCAGAACGGTGAGTTTCGGCTGCTGGGAGGTAAATTGCTGCAAATTGTGTTAGTCTGTTAGCTCATTATTGGGAAGAAAATATGGCATGATTTTCATATTGCGACTGCATCGCAAACCCATTTTCCCTCCTATCATAATTACAACTACCATTTTGAACCTATTTCATGATTTCTGTATGACCCAGCTGAGAGTAAGGTCTTTGTTTAAAGGGCTTTGAAAATTGAAGGAAAGAATCTTGTAGATAAGTCAGATGTTGTTGTGAAATTTGTTATCGTCCTCTAGCAGTGTTGCCTCTTACTCATTGCTCATTACGCTGTGGTAGGCTCGTTTGTTGTACTCCTTATAGTTTTCAACCGCTAACTTTCAAAACCGTTTTAATTGTGAACACATTTTAAAGATTTCCCCCCTTTCAGCCATGTTACTAGGGCATTAGATTCTCGTCGAACTGGTGATTGCGTCTAGGTAAATTTTTTTAATTATTTGTGTGTACTAAAGCTGACGTAGTTGTGACCCCTTCCTCCCCCTCCTCTAGTTGAACTGTCACTTCCAAATTAGTTTGCTTGTCGACGTTCTTAAGTTGCTTTTGATAGTTTGGAGTTCAGAAACTCACCATTTCTTCCCTAATACACTGCCAACGTAAATACGTGATGACTGCGCGCAAACGATGTGGTCTCCATTATCGCTACTTGAGGCGGAATTACCATTTCTGACACTGCTATGTCGTGCTATTACTCACAAACGCCTGTTACCGAGGCATCCCAACTTGTGTATTTCAATCATTTGGAATTCTAAGCAATCTCGAAAGCTTCTACTTTTGTAGCTGACTACACTTTCTTGTCACTTTGGTAGCAAGCATTTCCTCGGTTGTGCTAGGCGTCAGCGCCGCTGTGACTGCTCCTTACCTTCATACATTTCGCCTTGTCATAAGTGTAAAGGTCAGGTACTAACGATTTCAAAGACCTCTCCATAGCCCACTAGTCAAGTAGGAATCCCTTTTGATAAGTAGTCGACTTCGGTTCAAGTTGTTTACTTTAACAGCCTTGTTTCACCCTTCCACCCCTTTTTAGCTATTCAATTCCGGTGAAAAGATTGGCTTAGAAAAGAAATTGAAGGCTGCATCGCCATTTTTTTGTTATTTTCTGTGCTCAGGCGAAAAGTATGACGATTTATAGTGGGCGATTGCAATAATGTCTCACGATATTTCTTCATTCTGCGTCCATTTCGAGCTTTAGAAGGTTGTTTTAGGGCAACATAATTGGGAAAAGTTTATTTGAACGGCCGCATAACTCGCTGTAGACGTAGTATAATGCTTCCCAGTTACCTTGTAGGTCGAGCTCATTTCTTAGCTGCCATTCTTAGCGCACTCACGTGATTTTAGGCAGATTTACAAATTGTAGAAGCTTATTTCCGCGAAATGTGTTGTGTGGAACTTGTAGAAGGCACAGTGGGTGTACGATGGCTCAGCAGGCATAGTTGTAGAATGCATAGCTGTAAAGTGCTTTTGGAACCGTATAGGTATGTGGATGGTAGATCTCTTGGACACAGATGATTTTGTAACACAATCGGGTGTTAAGTGGATGACGAATTTAAGAAACCTATTTCTTTCATTACACTTCAACTCACCATTATCTCCGTCGCTCCTTTAATTTCTAGAAGGCTACGTTTGCCTTGTGCCGATGTGTATGTGTGGGACAGACTGTAGACACGTTTCGTAATCAAGAGTTTCTTACCGAAGTCCAAATCATTTGAGCCGACACCTAACCACCCGTCACCTCTCGATTCAAGTCGAGGGCGTGGAAGAAGAGCTGTCGCATGAATTACGACCCCTTGGACTGTCCGACCTAATGGAGGGGCTTCATGCCATGGAGCATGCCTATGAGGTGATTTGTGCATTGAGCTAGTGAGACGGAGGCAGCTGTTGGTTAGCAAAATTCTCATCCGCGTTCGCGCAAAAATTTTCAGTTGAGCAATGGTGAGTGTATTTTTGTGTACCGGACAGGCATTCACCTGCGAAATAGAGTGGAAGTTCGATAGGGGACAATGAGTGAGAGGGGAGATAAAAGAGGCTGATGCTTTTCACTTTCGGAGACAATGTGTGCTGAGAGACAAATTCGCACAATGGCGTCTTGTGGGGAGATGTGCTCGTCGCTGTATGCTGTACGAATGCTTTTCATTTTTATAATTTTGCAATCTAACAAATCGTATGACACTCGTTTTCCTTGAATGAGGAGTAGTATTGTGGTGCGAAGTATGTACTCAAGAGCAAGATTTGACATTTCTTTGAATGGAAGGTTACTATGAGAGAAGTTTGTTTTATTCCAGGCTAGGTGCTTTGCCATTCTCTCCCGTGTCGAAGGTATGCTTACGTAGTGAGTACTACGAGGAGCTCATTAAGTTTTAAGATCAGTTTTGGCGATTTGTTTTTGAGCTCCAGTTTCCCCTTTTCTTGTAAGATGCTACTCCATCGTCCTTTTTGATAAATCCACCTTCATTCTGTCTGTTCGTAATGGGTTTGAATGTTCATCGGTTGAGTTTCTTTTGTTTTATTTTTAACTATACTTCTTTTCTCCCTTTGTTGTGATTTATAATTTCGACTTATTATGTATTACTAATCTTAGCCCTGTTTTATAGCCCGTTGTGCATTTTCTCAATGTCATATTGTTTGGCATTTGTTCAGGGCCTCAATTGTTGTAGCGATCACTCTGTGTCTTTCCATTATGTTTCCCCGTCCGAGATGTACACACTGGATTACCTCATATATCACTTGCATCCGTACGGAATCGCCAGAGATATCGAGCAGTACGACAAACTATTGAACTTGCGAAACGCTACATGAGTAGCGATAAAATACAATCGAAAATCAGGCTGTATGTCTTTTGTGCTTTCAAACGGAACCCTGTTGGTTCTCTTGATGTGTAATTTTAACAAATGTGAAACAGCATACGCTCACATTCCTCCTGATATCTTAGCAAAGGCTGGGCTGTGTAGGTTATAATGCATTATTCCCTATTAGAACCTTAAATATGAAGCTTGAAATATGTGAATTTAGCTCAAAAGTAACCGTCGTTAGCATTGGTAGAGTTGGCGTTTAAAATACCGGCGACTTACTGAGACGAAGGAGCACCTTGTGATGCAATGTTGCGTTGCTTGATGACTTAATAAGGCGATGTTTTGTGCGGTGTCAAATAGTTCGCCATGTGACCTCTTATTCAGCCGGAATGACCCAATTATTTGGAGGTGGAAAGCCACATAATGTCCTAAGGCAGCGCGCAGGCGCTTCAGCACTAACAATTCTTACTTGGCTTGGTAGCGCGGTCCCCGGTACAATCCCGTGATTTCGTGAAACTTTTAGAGACACTAGAACCTAAGTCTTACAGGAGCTCCCTAACGAATGGCGAGGTCTAATCAGAAGCATCACGATTAGGTGCAGTTATCGGATTTTATAAATCGAGAAGCGGATATTATCATTTAACATAATCAGAGAGTTTGTTAACCCATTATAATACTACCCCACTTCTAGGCACCCAAAGTCGTACAGAGCTAGCGCAGTACTTTATTTATGTGTCGACCTGGTAACTCATGGCTGCTTTGCCATTCGCCTTGCTCTTGCACTCGCGGGCATGGAATGCATACATTCAGCCCAACTTAATGCCTGCATTCAGGATACCTAATTCGAAGCATACGTAATTGCAATTTTTTAACCAATAATGGCAAGTTTTGGCGATTTTCCTGAATCTTCGCTGGTATTTTAAAATTTACCACGTAACAACTGCAACGTCTCGAGACTTCTCATAGGGTGGAAGAAGGCAGTAAGTGAGGCTGGATATATGTATTCCAAAGGAAGCAAAGCAGATGGACCTGATCATAGTCCGAAGGTCAGCCCATGAGCACAAACACCAGACAAGTCCTAAAGTGACCGCCGAACGTCAGGTAGTCACATAAACAAAGCATCACAGCAACAGCCTATGAAGTGTCCGCATTCCTGTTTTATTTTTGTCACTTCATAAACGCTTATTAGGCCTTAAGCTATGAACCACTATTTAAAATGATGCATACCATAATTATGCTTTTCTTGTAGATGATAGGTGCGTGTGCCGTTGTGTAGTTATGTTTAACGTATGCGTTGCAAGGTCAACTTTGTGTGCGTTCTAAGTATGCGGCTTTGCAGTGTTTTATTGTTACTCAATTTATACCATCAGATGGTGGAGTCGATGACTACTCAGGAATCTGATGTAGACTCTGGTTATACCGTTCATTGTAATCTAGGCTCTCGAACAAAAACTTAAGAGCATGGTAGCACTTTTGGGCCATTCAAATCTGCTCCCTTTGAACTTTGAGAAATACAATGAGTTTGTACTCAAATCCCCTCGGAACTATTCAGTGATTCTAATGCTAACGGCAATGAATTACAGGCATAATTGCCACCATTGCCAGTATGTCCTTTCCGGATGTGCGATCATTTTTAGGCTTGCGGCTGATGAGTTCGCCATACTTTCGAAGTCCTACACCCTCTCCAGAAAGGACAAGTATGAAATCTTCTTTGCAACCGCTGATTATGATGATGATTCGGAAATTTTTGCATCTGTTAGGCTCTAGTACTTAACGACTTTTGTAGTTGAACCAGAATACGGTACCGGTTTTCATTCACTTTCCCCCTACCACTTCACCAAAGAAGGAGGATGTTTATGATATCGCTCGGAAAGGTTTAAGTGCCGAAGTCTTGGCTCAATGGATACTTGTTAGAACTGGTGTTCATGTAAGCTACTGAGTCATTGTCATTCCTCAACATAGCTTAACGTTGAAAGGCCTCCTAGTTACTCGGGTTTCTTTCTTCTCGCTATATTGGCCTGTGTGGGCGGAATAATTTTTCATCTTCGTTCTGACAATTTCGGACAATTCTTTAACCGATCTACAATTTCGTATTCTTGTATGGTAATGATGGATCGACTCTACCTATTCTTAGATAATAATTTTTTATATGATCTCTGGTCAAATTTGGAATAGCATTCGTCGACCACCAGCGTTCCATTCCTCTACTGAAGAAGGCCTCGTAATTTCTGATACAGATTTAGGATTTTGCGTTAGGTCCTTTTTTACCCTAATAATAATTCACAATTCGTCTCGGAAACCTTCATTATCATGATTACGTGTATCCTTTTGCTAGTGCACTTTTCTTTTCTAACTTTCTTTCAAGACTCCTTAACTGTAACTCAGACGTTCTTGTCTCTTTGAGCATTGTGCTTCTGACTGACGTTACTCAGATGTCGGATTCAAGCAAAAGACGAGGTTTGTCGTTGTTCTGCTTTCTTGTTTCCTTTATTTCACTTCAGCCGTTGTCTGCTTTTATTAGCGATGGCAGTATTGGGGATTGCAATGTTTTCGATATTTACAAGCCTATGCTTATCGCTCTTCCGTAAGAAGAACCAGAGTTATCCATACAGGTATGAAATTTTGCTTATGTAATCTCTACCACTCTTCAGCTTTCTTTTGAAATAGCAATTGATTTAACGTCACCAGCTGACCGTCTGTCACCCCTCTTGATTAAAGTATTCGTCTTTATTACTTATCTACTATGCTTTTTCAAAATTTGACATTTCTTACTACCGAATAGTGGTGGTGGTGATAGTAATAGTAGTAGTAGTAACAGCAGCGGATGCAGCGGTAGCCATAATCTTTCACAAGCTGATTAGTAACATTCTCCAATTGCACTTGTTTGCTGTGAACTCCATTTCGGCATTGATTGCAGCGGCCTACTTTAGTTCATTTCTTCCGGCATAAGTCTGAGTTTTAACATCGTCAGTGAAGTATCTCTATTTTTGGGTGCGGGACCAGACCTTTATGTCATTTTACTGGTGATGGTTATAACTACAACTGCACGTTCTGAGTTACTCTTGAGTTCTATTTTATTTGGCCTACTCCACGTCAGCTTACAAGTTGCTCTCGGATCTCGTTACTCCATGTCGAGCCAAGACGAATTGCTGCACGAAGCTTTTGCAAGCTCTCGTGTCTCAAACGGTTGTCCTCTCACCTAAAGATTAATACACCATTGGTAAAGTTAATTCGACAGCTACATTTTGAATGTGATTCTGCTAGTTATTTTAGTGTATCATCTTGCCGTCGACATGGAATTTCACCGAATCAAACGTTGTTCTCATTCGAAGAAAATTGGAAACATTGGTGCATAAACTAGGAAAAGTGTCTGAGTCCAAGCTATTATAGATAATTGCAAGGGGTTCGAGTAGAAATATGCAGTCCAGTGAAGGTGTAAGGCAAGTGGGAGATCGACCGAAGGGAGTCATCCGTAATAAGTGCCAGTTAATTTTTGTAGCTCCTTATATTGGTTGGGATCTCTAACAATACCGGATGGGTAAAGGTGGTAGATGAGGTACTCCAGTGTATACATTTCCGTCGGCTTCACGTAATGGAATGACACGGAGTGATCACTGCAACAGTTGAAACCCTGGTACATACAAGAAGCAAGAGTCGAACGCAGATTAATGCTGACCCTTCATCTTGCAAATTTGTATGAATAGTGATCTGAAGGTTCTGGGTGGGGGCTGTTAAAGATTAGTACGAAAACTAAGTGGTTAGGTTGGTCGTGATGTTAAGCATGCTACAGATTCCTCTATTGAGTTCAACGATTTTAGTAGAATGGACTAGGCATAACGAATGATTAGGACTTTGAACTGAAGCTTGCAATCATGTCATTTTGCTCACGGCAGAAAGCGGTTGTTAATGTGCGTGGTGACGGGTTTATCCGCAACGTAGCTCACCGTTTTCAAGGGGTGGTAATTCCGACCAAAAATCCACGGTGTTGATTTCATGGCTGATTTACTGAGCAAGTGAGAAGGGTGAAAGGGGTGAAAGGTCTCCTGACCATATTCGTCTAAACTGTCCAACCATTGTACACCCACGGCGTCTGCGCAGTAGCCTGGAAAAACAGACGCACAAAGATCAAGTACCTCGAAATAATTTATGGACAGCTAACTGGCCAGAATTCAGACATGTCTGCTGAAGTGACAATATTTGCTATAACTGCTAGTCTACCTTCTACAACTGCCTATCCTTAAAATCCCCAAAAGTCGAACAGCCTAGATAATCATGAGAATAGTGGAACACATGGAGTCTAGTAACAATTATCTTTTGCGATAAGAGAGGAAGTTAACGATTTTAACTCGATCATGGTAAATGTTGGTAAAATTAGCCTACAACCGTTACGTTAGATGAAACCATGAACACTTCCCTTTTGCCTTTTAAATGGCTAGATTGTCTACTTGTTTTAAAGAAGTAGAATGCTCCGTAAGTTCTAGGTCTAACAACTATATTAAGCATAAAAAACCATCGTGAGAAATTATTCATGGAAAACGAAGGCGTCATTGAGCTCGCCACAACCGAAACTAAACGGAATGCCTTACACATAGTGGGGATTACGTGTCACCAGACGCCATTGTGCGAATTTGTCTCTCAGCACACATTGTCTCCGAAAGTGAAAAGCATCAGCCTCTTTTATCTCCCCTCTCACTCATTGTCCCCTATCGAACTTCCACTCTATTTCGCAGGTGAATGCCTGTCCGGTACACAAAAATACACTCACCATTGCTCAACTGAAAATTTTTGCGCGAACGCGGATGAGAATTTTGCTAACCAACAGCTGCCTCCGTCTCACTAGCTCAATGCACAAATCACCTCATAGGCATGCTCCATGGCATGAAGCCCCTCCATTAGGTCGGACAGTCCAAGGGGTCGTAATTCATGCGACAGCTCTTCTTCCACGCCCTCGACTTGAATCGAGAGGTGACGGGTGGTTAGGTGTCGGCTCAAATGATTTGGACTTCGGTAAGAAACTCTTGATTACGAAACGTGTCTACAGTCTGTCCCACACATACACATCGGCACAAGGCAAACGTAGCCTTCTAGAAATCAGAAACTATGGCCACGAAGCATAGGATAATATACGTGGTGGTCATTCTAGTGATATTCTTACGGGTAGAAGCCGTATTTTAGCACAAAGCTTATTTCTCATCACTAGCGTGCCGACCATTAAGTAGTCCTATGCAGCTTTGTAGCATTCGATGAAGAATGCATGACCATTCAGTTGATTCACTACTCTGTTAATTCCGTTTATGATTCCCTTTGGTCTCCATCTGAGAGCAAGCCTCCACTACTTTTCAAATCCACTTGAGACGAGAGTAAACACTTTGGCTGTACCACTGAAGCTTTCTATAATTGCACCCACTTCGCGTCACTCAATCTTGTAGTGACGGTCTCTTTGCTGACGTTAGAAAATGGCATCGCAATTAGTTTAGCATTAGAAAATTCATACCATAAGCATTTCAGGCAGTAGTCCTATTGCCACATTTATTCAACCGCCACAACCATAACGTTCTCCTTGAAAATGAAATGAACAGATTTTACTGAGTGAAACTTCTGCCATTCGAAGTCCACTGAAATCCGTAGCATTTAGCAAGAAATACAGGGTGAAAACACCTATGATAATCCAGTTTCAATGGTCTGCTATAGAAGGAAGGCTAAGAAGAATTGGAAGTTCAAATGGCAAAATTCGGAACACGAAACAACGAACGGTTCTTACTGATGCATGTTTGTGGCCATTCTTCTCCAACACATGCTAAAAACCATTTCATGTACTTTTCAGGTGCCTACAAGTTACACGAGGTCACTTTTCCGGTCCAAGTATGTCTACACAA